ATTATACAAAACTAGCTGACCCGTCAAGCTTCGTACCGCCTAACAGTCAATGAATGTCTTACACATTAACTGAACTAAATATTACTTTGCCAATAAAGCAGCACAAACCAGGCGTATCGTAGCTCGACATATTTTCCTTAGTTTACACAAAATAAATTTCTGATCGCACGCATAAATATTTGACAACCAATATATCTGTCAATCTTTTTTCACTACCGACATTATTCTATATAAAAAAATCGAAAATGCGCGTTTATATGAATACTGTAGATATACGAGTATATCTTGTCGATTCGAAAACTTTATTTAAATACGTTCTTTAATTTAAGGGGAGAATTTACTGTATCAATGGGTAGTACTTACCGTATCAACGGAATGGACATTGTGTAAATGTTAGACAGTTACGAAACCCATGAATATTTTTTATGGGAAAATTATTATTTTTCTTTTATTTTATTATTGTCGTAAATTTTCCAATGTTTTTGATTCTGCTATTCGGGGCAGAGACAAATACAAAAAATTTAAAAACCATACAAATTGGTACAGCTTTTCTCGAGTTATAAGTTTTCGAAGAACCCGACTTTGTTAAACTGTTAACTGCTACATTATACTGTTACTTTTTTTTTATTGCTTAGATGATTGAATTAGCTCACAGCCCACCTGGTGTTAAGTGGTTACTGGAGCCCATAGACATCTACAACGTAAATGCGCCACCCACCTTGAGACATAAGTTCTAAGTTCTCAGTATAGTTACAACGGCTACCCCACCCTTCAAATCGAAACGCATTACTGCTTCACGGTAGAAATAGGCAGGGTGGTGGTACCTACCCGTGCGGACTCACAAGAGGTCCTACCACCAGTGTTACTGTCTGGGTTTGATTTTTAACAACGTGCAAAACATTCGTAATGACAATTGAGTATGTATTTAATTAGAAAAATACCTGTAATAAAAGTACCTGCCTGCGGGATTCGAACATCGGCAGTCGCACCGCACCTTACGACACCGGCATCGGCTACATGTCCCTTGACTCAATGCGAGAAACCGTATTCACATTACGGCATGAGTAAATCGACACTCCTGAGCGACATATATCACTGGGTTTTTTATTCCACCTATTTTAGTAACCTCGAGGGGTTATATTAGATTCACAGAACAAGTGAGCTCACGGGGCTCTAACCAGATGACGTTGCTAACACTAACCCTAGCAAGAGCAGTGCTTCGCAGAATCTACCGCCGGATCGGAAACGCGACCCACTGAGAAGATCCGGCGAGAAACTCAGTGGGCTGTGTCTGTGGGTTAATTTACTCGCCGAGCTCTTCGTCGTCGAGAACGATTAACCGAAGCTGTATTGAGAGGTATCTCTATGTATTCTAATTACTGAGCCGACTATGGCTTAGTGCTTGGCCTCAAAAAGTATTAATTACCTACAAGGGAATAGATACAGTGCATGCAACCATAATATAACGAAACTCAATTTAACAATTTTTTCGTATTCCCTTTGAATTTTCTATAAGAGCCAATGTAAAATATACATTTACATTGCACGACTTCTTGCGAACAACCTCTTTATAACGAATTTTCAACTCTCAAAAAAAAGTGTAAATACCTCTAATTAACGTTCCCACCAATATGAACCTTAATCCCATAGAATCAGTCTCGTCACGTTTTATTTGTAAAACAATCAGTGATTTGTTTGATGGGACGTAATGTAAATAGTGCTGCTCTTTATTGATTTTTTACCTCTAATTCGTTCGTTTTTTACCTAAATTACCTACATAATGTATGAACCCACCTCGATACGTACCTACATTTACGGACTTTGTGGCATTTATATAATTTGACTATTAATCAAAAAAAAAATTAAGGGATTTTATGACCTGGTAACTAAGACCTTTAGGTCAAGTCTTATTTTAATTTTAACGAACTTTTTTATATGAACAATATTATGAAATGAAATGAAAACGAAATAAAATAGTTACCTATATATTTGTTTATTTCGTTTTAAATAGAAAGAACATACTGTAATTTGATAAAAATGTGTTATCATTTATTACTAGAAGTTGTTCGCTATAACAAGCTGAGTACGTAATGTTTAGTTGAATAAAACTTTTTTTTTTTACCTCGTTATAACAAATGGTAGACCAACCTAACCTTAATATAACAAACCTCAGTTTACCGAATTATTTGATATAACGAATATTCACTTGTTTCCTTTCGATTTGTTATATCGAGGTTGCGCTGTACATATAGCTTAAAACAATAAAACAACAAAGTCATTAAGAAATAAAAACTTTTATTATTATCAGTTCAATTATCATATTTACATTCATTTCAATGATTAAAAGCACATTGTTTATACACAATACAAAAAATAATAATCACTAAAAAAAATTGAATTCGTAATAAGCAATGTATTCATTATTCATTTATTTATTATTCTACGAATATTGAAAAGAAAACATAAATCTTGACTGAGCAATTACTATTATGAATCATTTAAACAGCATGGCAACTTATGTGAGACTGAAAGGAAACTAAATAAAACGAAATTAAACTAAACGATTACAAATATGTACATGTCGGACTTTCAAAGAGTTGAACACGCAAACGGATTGGCAGACGGCCCATCCGACTAAAAGTGGCCGCCCTCACCGTCCCGTCCCGTCTTACCGTCGGGGACTCTTTCCAAGCCACGTTTGAAGAATGGCACGAACAACAAAATGAACAGAGTTTAATCTCAATGCGTCGTGTCCTTTCGTCACGATTATATAAACATTAAACTTGGATCGGCACATAAAAATGTAAAATTAAACATAATTTCAGTAGTAACAGAATTATAATCATGTTTCGTTTATAAATGCTCCGATATTTTCATTTTCACATATCCCTAACAATAATGGGTTACTGCAAACTTTACGCTTTGTACGTTAGGTGCCTCTTTTCAACGGGTGATTTAACGTATTCATTCCAATTCCAAATTTTTTTAATTTAAATATAATCGAGGCCTCGGATTCAAATTGGAACTCATCTAACGCGTGCCGACCGATCGAACTAATAATGTTTTATCTTTCACGCAGAAGATGCTCTACGCAGAAGATTTTCTACGCAGAAGATCTTCTACGCAGAAGATTTTCTACGCAGAAGATCTTCTACGCAGAAGATTTTCTACGCAGAAGATTTTCTACGCAGAAGATCTTCTACACTTGTGCCCGAGAACCAAGACCCGACTCGAAACAACATACAGACAAACTCAACAAATCATTTACAATCCAAACAAAATGAAAATTATGCGTCAATTTTCACATTTAAACATTTACATTTTTTTACGTACTAAGTGTTTGGTGTTCGGAAACGTATTGATTAATTTAATTACATTTATCTACAATCGTATGAATGATAATGGCGGCACTTCTTTTCAAATTTTTATTTTTTTTAACCAATTTTGCGTTGTTATTATAATATGTTGACGATTAATTATAATTACAGTTTTTACTGGCAAAGTACTAAAAATTTACAATCATTTTACAATTAAATATTACAACTGCAGTAACATGAAAAAAACTAAAAAAAAGCATTTATTTACTTTGTATAAAGTTAATTAAATTAGTTGCTTAAAAAATTGCTTAGATCGGTGAACGAGCTCACGGCCCACTCGTGGTTACCGCCGCGGCCCACGGACAACTCAACGTGAAATCTACTTTGAGATATGAGGTCGAAATCTGTTATTAATGATGGTACCGATGTGACCACAGTACAATCAAACACCAGTAACTCAATGGCACGAACAAGTGCCGCCTTCATCATCGAATTAAAATGTACTAAAGCTCGGTACACAAAGGTGCCTACCTAAGTTGTTCTACGCTCACTATTAGTACCCGTGCACACTGACAACTCGATACTAATAATAATCGATTTCATTTTCAAATAATCGATTTTATTGGCAGTGATATTCACGATATTTAGTGTAATTCTCGAATTAATATTACTAATATTGCGTACGAATATCGATAAAATGTGCGTTTAAAGACCATTTATGATTAAAATATTTACCCATCACACTAGCCGATGTCTACAAAGGTATTGCCTCTAATTGGTTTTAATCTAGAATACAGTTTAAGCCTACCACACTATTAGACGCTGTTTCATTAAGCATTCATAATAAACGTTGGCACAAATTGGTGTTCTACAGTTTCGATACGGCTAAGACTATTACGAATCACAGACGATCAGCTAAATCTAATCGAGACGAGATGTTTGGAGATATCGATATTTACTCTGGACTCTCTCATACAAGTTGCCAATGCGCCGGTGCTTCCAAGTAACATACATTGCTTCCCTAACCTTACGCCGCGAGGGACCACTACGTTTCGCTAAACAGTTTAATTTCACTAATATTTTAGTCTAGACGGAGCCTAACGTCCATTCCTACCCTTCTCATCCACAGATAATAAAAAAAACAACTCTAGTACTATAGTAATAAGTCATCGAATCACCTATCACTATATAATTTACAGTAGGACGGTCCCGCACTCCGATTATAATTTGAGATCTGTCTTTTGCTATTAAACAATTTTGTTTGTACGGATCAATTCACGTCGTATCACTCATTCGCATTACTGAACATAGCTTTATGATGGATGCGCGGATGGAATGCGTGCAGTTACAATTAGACAAGTTTAATTACAACGATACTCGATACGGAAACTATTCGATACGCACGTATCGATATCGATAAATCGAATAGTCATCCCGGAAGAAGTATCGATAAAATTTCATTATCGTATCGCGTGCATCAGAACGACAAATAATCTCTAATGCGAATTATAAATAAACATCTTTAAAAATTCATACCAAAATTATGAGCGTATAAGTATTTTCACAGAATAAAAATATTTTTTTTTTTTTTTAAATTATAAGTCATACTCTTCTCGATTATAGATATAAAATGGCACTCTGCTCCGTTCATTATACATTTACAGATTTATGTATATATATATATATATATATATATATATTCACACACTCGTCACCTAACTGTTACCTTGTCACCATAGAATAATTGAATTAAATGGATGGATATTCCGTCGGAAGCTTAACAAGCGCTAGTCACGGGGAGCGATCCGAGGGGGGGGTCCGGATGGGGGCGCCTGCGGGGGACGCCGCGGGGGCATTCGATGCCCAACTTTTATTCTAGACGAGAGAACTAACCCGAGTTTGGTCCGCGGAGACGCGTCGGTGCCGTTACGCAATTAAGACTATAGGAATAGGAGCGTCCCTTGCAGCGGGCGCTCACTTGACGGCGCCGTGGCGGGCCTCCGCGTGCAGGCACACGCCCTCCACGGTGAAGATCGACACCTCTGCAACAATATTATCATTTTTAATGCACTTTCCGTGAACATTTTCCATCACTTTTGGTTTTTAGTTAGAACACACAAAAAAGATTCTAAATAGCCAAGTATGATGCACGAACAATCCTGCGGACATCGGCAATAGCAAGGTCAAACAAACTTTTCATCACCTAGTATCACCTAGATAGTATAGATGAACTCTGCATCAGCGAAGAGTGTTGCACTAGTCAAGTAGACGTGAAGGAGTTTTCTTAGAATCTTGTTTACACTACACTCCTTACAATACACAATACACTTACGAGTCCGCGCGGGTAGGTACGACCACCCTGCCTATTTCTGCCGTGAAGCAGTAATGCGTTTCGGCTTGAAGGGCGGGGCAGCCGTTGTAACTATACTGAGACCTTAGAACTTATATCTGAAAGTGGGTGGTGCAATTACGTTGTAGATGTCTACGGGCTCCAATAACGGCTTAACACCAGGTGGGCTGTGAACTCGTCCACCCATCTAAGCAATAAAAAAAACTAGTTAAATGTATTATTAATGAAGAATGCTTAGAAGATAACTAAAGGATGTTCGTAGTGTAGAGTGGAACGGGGTGGAAGTACCGTCGGGCAGGTCCCGTATCCTGGGCGGTATGGATGCGAAGTATGCGTGGTGTATGGCCCGGTGTGCGGGCAGCCGCCGCGCGGGGTCGGGCTGCAGCAGCGCCGCCGCCAGCCGCTCGGCGTCGCGCCCCGCCTCGCGCAGCAGCGGGAACGCCGAGCTGAGGGGGCGCGCGGGGGAGGGGCCGCGGGACAGGTGCACGCGCGCGCCCGGCAGCCGGGACACGCCGGACCAGCTCTCCTCCGTGGGCGTGCCCACCACCTACAACGAACGTTACCCGTTATGTCTCTCAAAGCGATTCAAAATTCTCGTTCCATGAAGTAAATTACTGGTGGACCTCTTGTGAGTCCGCGGGTAGGTACCACCGCTCTGCCTATTTCTGCCGTGAAGCAGTAATGCGTTTCGGTTTGAGGGGTGGGGCAGCCGTTGTAACTATACTGAGACCTTACAACTTATATCTCAAGGTGGGTGGTGCATTTACGTTGTAGATGTCTATGGGCTCCAGTAACCACTTAACATCAGGTGGGCTGTGAGCTCGTCCAACTATCTAAGCAATAAATAATTTTCGCTACAATATAGTATGTATAAACCCTTAACACTCAAGATCAAAGGACTAATATCCATGATTGCAAAATGACCATTTCAAATTCGTATTGATAGATACACATAGATACAAATTGATGAGGTTTATGAGGACAGGCATCATCACGACGATCACGACCTTCAACATTACAGTTCGACGCGAAGAAGAGGAAACGAGATTTATTTAAATAATTCATCTAAAAAAATTATAACCTAGAAGTCGAGATTAAAAAAAAAAAATTAATACAAGTATACCGATATTATAGAGCGGTGTTTCTCAACGTGGGCCCCACGCCTCACAAGGGAGGAAATTTGATAATTAAGGGGGGGGTAATCGCACTAAATGAATATAGAAAATCTGTATTAAAATTATTTTGAATTTGAATTTCAGTTTTTTAATAAATGTTTTGAAATACTGTATATTTACTGTGTTTTGATAACAATTTCCTAGTGATTTCTTCCTAAAAGCTATCATTTATGTTTCTAAAGTGGATAAATCAAATTTTTAATATTAACATTATAGGTGAGGGGTATTAAAACTTTTAGAAACGTTACAGTGGGGCAAGGTACAAAAAAGTTCGGGAAACACTGTCAGGGTGTACACGCCGGGTAGTACCGAATTGCAACAAAGGAAACGAGTCGGTCTCGTACAGGCATACCTTGAATATTTTATCGAGCTGGTCGTGAGTGTCCCTGATGCCGGGAAACGTCGGCACGCCGCAGATCATCTCCACGAATATGCAGCCCACGCCCCACATGTCCAGCGACGTCGAATACTCCGTGCTACCTAATAAAACGTCTGGAGACGAAACCAACATGTGCAATTAAAAAAAATAACAAAACAAATTGAAAAAAAAAGACTCAGAATTAACAACGTTACATCTTACGAACTACCTATTTAGAGCGAGGGCAGTTTAACATTCTGTACAGTGACGTCATTGTTTATCAGCACTGTACAAACGACGGATTGATTTGACGTTGAACTAATTAAATGTGACGTTTATAAGTTTCGACTAAAAAATATTCGCATTAAACTGTTGTTTATCGTTTAGAGTAAAATACATCTTTTTGTAAAGGTCCCTATTATTTTATGATTAATAACTACCCTACAACTCTTGATATTACAAACGAACGTAGTCCCACGATATCCTCCGAGTTTTAAGGTTGGCACTCATTACTATTTATTAACTGTGTGAAACCTATATCAGGAAAAGGAGGAAACATTTTAAATATTGTGGAGATTAACGTACAATAATGTACAGATAAAAGTCTAAATCGACATACATGTTATATATTTGAATGTCCTTTTTATGAGTCCGCGCTCGTGGATACCACAACCTTGTCAACTCTGAAGGGCGGGGCGGACGTTACACGACGCCATTGAAATTTCGACCTTACGCTTAAACGTGTGAGGTAGCATTCACGTTGTCCGGGCGTCTGTCCAGCTAGATAGAGCACGAATAGAATTTGTAGTTGTACGAACCTGGTGGTCGATACCATAGCGTGACCACTTCGTGCGAGTACGTGTGGCTCGGGACCGACTTGGCCCGCGCCAGACCGAAGTCGGCCAGCTTCAGCTCGCCCTGGGAGCTTATCAACAGGTTCTGCGGCTTCACGTCCCTGTGGAAATTACATTCGTCAACTGGATTGTCTGTCACGTTTTAATGTACGTGTTCCGAAGTTTCCAGACGTAATTTGGGAGCGAAATCTCGTTCATTAAACAAACCCGACGGAAATATTTTGGTATGGTTTATATTGTACACGACTTGTATCTTTTGCGTTGACAGTCAGTATGAAAAGCTATGGAAAGATAAGTCTAGTGTGATACACGATTCAATTAGTCCGCCTTTATAAACGGTTATTATAATTATTTTTAGGGTTTAATCCCACGATATTCTTTGTCATTATGTTATTTTGGACGTTTTCGTGAACGCGCACCAACAATATGTTTAAGATAATAAAAATTATTTTAAGAGTCCCATTCTTTTTTTAAGTTCTGGACTAGGGATAAAAGACTATATCCCGACTAGGAATAAAAGAGACGCAGTACTTTATGCGTTCTTAGGGATAATGAAGCAATTTACGTCTGAGTTGCTTTTCTATTTGAATGGCACCGCTAACGAAGACTTATAAAACGTACATGGGTTACATCATGAATGTCCCTATCCAGATTAAGACATGAGATATATACAATTCACACACACTCTTGTGTGTTTAATTAAACTAGACGACTTGGGAGCACTGAGCCGCTAATACCTTCAGCCGAGCCGAGCCGAGGAGGAAAGAATACCTTAAAAAAATATTAACCGACCATTGAATGCCTATTTGCATACCGCGAAATTCCTACGACCAAACACTACATAATTACTACATAAACTAAATTATTTGAACAAAATTACTCCTAAATTAAAAGGGAGATACATAAATATATTATTTTCTGAAAATCGGAACAAATCTTGATGGAGAAAACGCATTACTATCGCTGTGAAGCGCTCACATGCGCGAATTTAGTTTAAATCAATTCCAAAACATTACATAAAGCCAGGAGCCGCCTTATACAATCAGACAATAACAATTTTAAACATCCAAGAATGACATACTTATAAATTTTTTTTCAACGCACACACTATTGAATTGCTTTTTACAAAATAGTTACTACTAAAATAATTAGCTCACAAATTAAAACTCTTCTAAATACATCTTTTTTATCGATTAGAAACTCTATATCAAAATAGTAATTAAAGTATTTCTGTTCAAAAACAGAAACGGTTGTTGTACCTGTGCAATACTCTTCTCCGATGACAATAGGAGAGTCCCCTCAGCAGTTGGAACATGAATAGCCTAACGTTGTGATGATTCAGTCCTCCGGGATGCCTCTCCATGTATTGTGAAAGATCCGTATCCTTTTATGGGAACAGAAAAAATATATCTTTATTTTAACATTATTTCACGGACATTGTGAAATGAATTAAATTCACCCTTTCCACCAAATTTTCATATCAATATTTCCAAATATCACATGTGATGATCTATGTAGAATTTATTTTAATTTCAACTTGATTATTAGTACTGCATCATCTATGGACAGTCCATCCCATCAGTACAGCAAACTCCCATCAGTACATTTGTTGCGGTTGAGGAAAAAAATTCCTAGAGAATTTTCCACCAGAATTAAAAACAGACATCCTGTAATTGAAGACATAAGACCCCCTCAAGGTTAAGTACCGTTTTCAAGATTTTTGAGTTTTTACATTGAATGAAGGTATTATGTGCTTAAAAACCATATTAGACCTTAAAACTCCTAGTCTAAAGGCTATTTTCAGAAATTGCATGTGATGAAGGAGTTACGTACGAAAAAGTACAAGTACTTAACAAAAGTTTGTTGCCAGTTTTCTCAAAATTAACAAATCGTATCATATCCCCTTCATCCACTCATGTCTTCAATTTTAATACACAGTAACACGAGAACCAGTCTTCTAGATTATCTGTTGCTATGGCCAATCGCAGCACAGGTGTGTTATTAAAAATTTCCTGTGAACTCACCACAAACTCGAAGACGAACGTCAGGGTCTCCCTAGTGTGAACTATATCGTGTAACGTGACTATGTTCGCGTGTTTCAGCTCTTTGAGGAGCGAGGCTTCCCTTATCGCGGTGAAGGGCGCGCCTTCCTCCTCCTGCAGTCTGATCTCTTTGAGCGCTACCACTTGTTGCGTTAAACTGTTGACAAAAAACATTACCTGTTTAATAACCGTGTGATATTTTTTCTTCATAAAATCATCAGCTATAATTATTTGTTGATAAAAAAGAAATTAGGATTTCTCATTTTGTTGTTGGATCAATGGAAATTGAATTTGTCACATTGAAATCGAAAGTTGTGTAACGTAAAAGGCAATCCGAAGCGAGTGATTCATTATTCCTATCAGCACTTACACTTCTCGAAGATAGATTGTCGCTCCGAAACTTAATCAACTCGATACAGAATATTTTATTAGCTAGATTCGTTCATTTATTAGTAAAGTACACTTATAGTAAGGGATCTGGTTTCGATAACTAACGCAACCATGACAGGAAGGAAAATGTTTATTATAACTGACTTATAAAATAGCAGCAATGTACCACAAATAAAAACCAGATGACACGCGAGGTCAATGTAACTGCGCGATGCGGGTTGCCTGTATTAAATTTAATTTCCATTGCTGGCTCATTAACCATTATTGTCTTTTTGTTTTGAGATGATGTATCATTAATTTGTTATCGTTGTCAGTAGCATTGTTAATAGCTAATAGCTGAGATCAGTCATGAACGTTGTTGCATAATTTTAAATTCTAGGCTAATATTAATCAAATGAATTAATTTAATAGCGTGCGTTATGATTTTGACATTCGCGATGTTCTAGCTATTTATAGTTTACAGTGTACTTTTTTCCTGCTAAATATTTCCCTTATGCCTGAACACGAAGACAAATATCAATTTATTGTATAAGCAAATAGCTAAACTTAAATATTCAGAATCAATCGATGCGTTTTTAGTTTGAGTTTAAAATCGTTAAGCATCGCTTGGGGAAAACCTTGAAGTGAAATTGCCGGAATCGGTTTAATGACGCAACTTCTAGAGGTTTGCGCTTGATACGAGTAAACCTGGTACCTTGAATTTTTGGCCACGATGACTTTTGAAATAATAACAATTATTATAAATTATTAATATGTAATTATTATTATTGACTTGCAGAAGTAAAGTGTTCCACAAAAATCAAAATCCGGTAAACCTATATAAATTATTAATAATTATTATTATTGACTTGCAGAAGTAAAGTGTTCCACAAAAATCAAAATCCGGTAAACCTAGTAAACCTGGGACCTGATTCTTTTGTCTACGGTGACTTTTGAAATAATAATGATTATTATTATTATTATAATTTATTAATAATTATTATTATTGACTTGCAGAAGTAAAGTGTTTCATAAAAATCAAAATTCAATCGTTTTGCGTGATACTCGAACGAACAAATATAAAATCTAATAAACAAAAACAAATTAGAGCGATCGATGCACGTTTTGTTCATAAATTTTTTGCAAATATATCATCAATTTCTGCTACAATTTTGTAACAATATTATATACAGACAATTCGTAATGACGGTAATTGATAGCTATCGTTCGTGCCATCAATACAACGATTCATTAAACAAGGCGAGATTCATCAAGTTTCCTCTCTGAATCACGACCGACAAATGTCTCGCATTCAATATATAAATCTTACAGATATTCGTAACACATATTCGTAAAGTAAAAGTATTTGAAAGTAAAAAAGGTCTTAGTCGTAAAAACGTAATATATAAATCATTTACCTCTAAGTTTCAAAGAATGCATCTGAACCATAATTACCGGTAAAGCCAAAGTGGATGAAGTAATTGAAATACAAAATTCTCGAAAAGTGAACGGTAAAATCGTCCACTCGACCTGACCTCACTCTGTGAAACCGCAGCGAGTTTCGACAATTTGATTTAAACTTTAAACAGGTCAGTTCAAGAACGAAATTCGTTTAATAAGTTAATAAATACATATCATAATTACTATTTCGTTCGTTTGAAATTTATTCACTGCATAATTAAAAGTTTACGCCAATTATTTTGTTTTAAATGATGTATTGCATGTATGAAACTTACACAGGCACGCAAATGTTTTGTAGTCTGATTAATACGTTTCAAATTCTTATCGAATACTTGACCGATGAAGTTGTTTACACATTCTTTACTACTTTAACTGGTAGTATTAGTATTTTAAGTGTTAGTATTTAACTCGCAGTGGGGGGTTCCCCTATTTCTCCCCGTTTCTCCCGCGAAGCAGTCATACCTTTCGGTACTACCAGTGGACAGTAGCTATGATAAACACTTTGTGGTAAATTTGATAACTTTGCTAACCACTAACGCTACCTGGCCCATTTATTGACCCACACGTGGCCTAGCGGTATATAAACGCCCATAACAAAAAAAAAATGTGTGTCAGAGTATTACGACCTTTTCGATCACGGGTTTTTGCACTTTACTCAAGGAAATGTTCTACAATAAAGTACGAGCAGGCACCGATAAGCTTAGTTCAAACTATTGCTGCCCCGGTACAGTGATGGCTTTCAATTTGGGGACCTTATGTTTCAGGAAGCCTAGCGAGACGAGCTATGAGTATTGAGTATTATTTTGAGCTATGAGTATTATTTTTACTGGTGGTAGAATCTGTTGTGAGTCCGCACGGGTAGGTACCACCACCCTGCCTAATTCTGCCGTGAAGCAGTAATGCGTTTGGATCTGAAGGGCGGGGCTGCCGTTATACTGTAAAAACTGAGATTTAAAACTCATGTCTCAAGGTGGGTGGCGGCATTTACGTGGTAGATGTCTATGGGCTCCAGTTCGGCTGTGAGCTCGTCCACCCAGCTAAGCAAAAAAATAATAATATATTATGTTCGATGATTTACAACCACCGAACTCTGTTTAATCTGTGAATGTTTGACTGAATATTCGTCGAAGCCAGTGTAAGCTAAGCTAAAAAACAAAATATATAAGAAAATAATAAACTTACTTGCTATAACCTTTATATACTGTAGCGTAGGAACCCTCACCGAGCTGCTCCAGTTTAATGTAAGCTTCGGATTTACCGAACGGAGAGTCACCCTGTTAACAAAAAAAAAACAACCTTTAATGTAAATTTATTAACGTACCTCCGCTGTTTAAATGCGTACTAAGAGTGCCGTAATGAAACGCAAAGTTTCGATCATCGCAAGAAAAACTATTTTCAATAACGTGGGTGGGCAAATAAATAAGTTCAGCATTTATCTGAAGTTCAGAGGTTACTAGGAGTTATAAATATTATATTAAGAAAGGCGCCGCCCATTAGTATGGCGGCTTTTCTTCTCTTAGTAAAAAGTTAGCGCACTGAGGTTCTCGCCGAATCTTCTCAGTGAGTCGCGATTTCGATCCGGTGGTAGATTCTGCGAAGCACGGCTCTTGCTAGAGCTAGTGTTAGCAAATTCTCTCAGGTTGATCGCTGGAATATCCCCTAAGGCTACCAGCGAATAGGTAGGGGAAAAAAGTCGAAACAAGGCAGACAGTTTGAGCTCACAACATACCCTACTTAATTCTGTTATTAGCTTTGACGATTTCAACTAGAATCTTATTAAGCTTTTCGAAAAAGAAAAAAAAAAGATGTACAGATTCAAATTAAGAATAAACGTTCCACATCTTTAGTGTGACAACCAACTTGGTTTAAAATGAAAACAGTGGAAAATTATGACGTGAACGCAACTCGAAATAGAATATAGAGATGTGCCGCGAACACAGCCCGAATCGCACAACACGCTAGTCAAAATATTCGAGTTTCGAATTTAGTCACAGTCACCCGAGGCAGTATATACCGATTAGTTTATAAAGTATCGTCTGTTCGGTGGAGCTACATCGTTTCGCTTTCTTCGGGCACTCTCGAGCCGCGTATGTGCCGTCTAAATATTTGACTTGACTAATGCGTTCTCCGCCGGTTCGTCTGCCGATGCATGCGGCTCGGTGTGATACTTTCCGTGTTTTAATAAACAAACGTTAAACTTCTTTCAATTGCACTCTGATGTTCTGGTTTTAATCAATACGCCCGCGTTTTCTTCAGACGAATCTATTTACAACTGAAAATTTAAACTGATATTTTTGTCTCATGAAAGGCTAAGCATAAATATATCAACGAAAACAAATTAAAGTTCTCTTCAGTAATAACAAGGGTATAACGAAAGTTTTCATTTAATGCTGGACAGAGCATATTACATTGAACAATGACGTCAATGTTCATATCCGCCATACAAAATCAATAACAGAACTATGTTACAAAAGGCATAGGACGTTGTTAGCGGATTTAAAACACAGTATGAGTATTCAATTAAAGTATCATTAAGCTTTGCCTATTATAGTCTCTAATAAATTAACGAGGGCGCAATTGTTAGTTTAAATGGTATGACGTAGAATGCCATCAAAGATTCTTGACGTCAACAAAGTTGAACAGTCAGCAACCACAAGCCATTTGCCAAGAAATAATAAAGCGGTCCGTAATATCTTAATTTGTAGCACGTCCTTGCGATGGCTGAGGATTGCCTTTCCCGTCCCGCGTCATCCGTCAACGTCGCGGTGACTCCGTTCGCCTCATTTGTAAACTAACAATACTGCGCGGCTCGACGCAACGCCGAGGACCAATGAGGGATTTATATCACTTCTTTTATTTATATTACGTCTCGTTTTCCCAAAATAAAACGTAATAAGAATAACGGTCAAGTTGGCGTCAAGTCTATTTGAAATATGATAAAATTACACTCAAATTGTAAACATACTGGACTTACGTTTATATCAATTTCCTGGATATCTATACTAATATTATAAAGCTGAAGAGTTTGTTTGTTTGAACGCGCTAATCTCACGAACTACTGGTCCGATTTGAAAAATTCTTTCAGTGTTAGATAGCCTATTTATCGAGGAAGGCTATAAGACTATACTTGAGACCTTAGAACTTATATCTCAAGGTAGGTGGCGCATTTACGTCGTAGATGTCTATGGGCTCCAGTAACCACTTAACACCAGGTGGGCTGTGAGCTCGTCCAACCGTCTAGCAATAAAAAAAAAAGACTATATAACATCACGCTAAGACCAATACAAGCGGAGCACCAATAAAGAATGTTTCAAAATCGGGTTTTTTTCCCTTTTGAGAGCTTCCGCTGCGTGCGCTGCAGAAACGGTTAAAGTTTCGCTAAAATAATGTATGACAGAATTGTTCGCCTTTAAAAGATCTTAAAAAAGTGCGCGACAGCATAATAATGTATATATAAAGGTTGGCTCACTATAACGTTTTTTATGTTAAACAAATTTGTTCCAAAATAAAGCATTATTTGCGAACTATTCCACGCGGACGAAGTTGCGGGCTAAAGCTATTGAAGTATAATTTTGCTGACAGAAACTTTACACGGATTATTTCTAAGTTTCTTTATTATTATTTTTCTTTTCTATTTCTTCTTTTTTGTTTTTAATTTCCAATTTTGTTTCTATGAACACATAATATTGGCATTTTGTATTACATTTTCAGGTATGCCAATATCGGGACCATTTAGTTGATTAATAAAGAAAAAAGAAAAAAATCTCCAATTGTGTTCGTTCAATATGAATTTTTGAATAAATCACAAAGAAACAATTCACAACGGAGTTTTAAACACTCCTCGAGGACTTTGTCAAGTGTTCTACTTTTTTATACTTCCTTTGTAATAATTACATGTTTGAATCAAAAGTTTAAGATAATTGGAAGAGGAATTTAAATAGGTATTACTTAATTAATGAATTACGTAATATAAGTGTCTATTAAGATTGAATGATTGGGATGCAGCAGAGGTACGCGCTTTGCTAAATTGTAATTTGCGTAATTACTATACAATTGAGATAATAGACCTCAAGTCTCAAGGTCTGTGGTGGCATTCAGGTTATTATGTGTATGGACTCCGACTTGATACGTGGATCGTGGGCTCGTTCTGTCTGCGCAATTAATAAACAAAAATGTTGAAATCGTGATGGATGTAGGAATGCTACTAACCCCAAAGGCACTAAATCGCTTGGTGCGTCTACTGGACTGCTCGTGAGGCCCGAGGAACGCTTCACTCTTGGGTCTGGGAGGTCGCTTCGGCCTCATGACAACTCGCGCCTCCTCCCTCGCACCTTCGTCCAGGAGCTTCGAATCTGAAGAGACCGACAACTGTCTTCGGACACGGTATTCACCGTTGCCACCTTCGCTCCACTCTACAACAAAATATAAACGTGTCAAAACGGCATAACATTTCACCCATTACATAAGTCTTATTTATCTTTAACATAAATTCAAAACCTAAAACGTCAATCAACTATCAACAAGCAAACTCATGTGGTTCTTTTTTGCATAACAAATCCCCCTCAAGCGTAAACTCACTTGAAGAACGCTCACAGAGAAGCCACCCACCCTCGAAAACATTAAATAATATTCGTTTGCGTAAATAACTTGAGCAATATAATATTTTCTAATGTTTCCTTTATAAATTTTGTTTGAGAGGCAATTTAATGTTTTTTGACAATTTCCTCGGCTCCCCTTTTACATTTAATACTCGAATTTAAACGTAGCAAATTTACATGGCTTCTACCTACTTATAGCATTCGCGATACGAACGTTGTGTGCAAACAACCACTGAGAGCTTCGCGATTGACAGAATGAGGATCCTCGTGGAATGTCTCCAGCAAGCACTTAGTGAGCAAATTAATGAACGAAAATATAAAAATGTTACTTTGAAACGACGTCGTTTGAAGAAATCGTTTTGAGCGGCATCGGTATTCCAATATTCGAGGAGCACTCGAGGAAGCGTGTTAGCGTTACAAAGGTTCGATATCGCGACGGGTACGTCTCAATGCGAACGCGAAACGAATAAATCATTCCCGAACAACAAATCCGCAGATGACGGAACAAATCGATCACGAACACAATTTATCTTTTAGATTAACGAGGAAATGGAAGAATTAACGGTGAATGTTAATCGATGACTGCCGTTTACTTAAAACTTGTTTGCATTTGATTCGGATGTCATATTCTCTTGTCAAATTGTAAATGATTATTTAGTTTTTACTGGTGGTAGGACCTCTTGTGAGTCCGCGCGGGTAGGTACCACCACCCTGCCTATTTCTGCCGTGAAGCAGTAATGCGTTTCGGTTTGAAGCCCACTCTTCAAACCGAAACGCATTTGTAGCCGTTGTAACTATACTTGAGACCTTAGAACTTATATCTCAAGGTGGATGGCATGGTAAATGCACGTCGTAGATCTCTATGGGCTCCAGTAACCACTTTACACCAGGTGGGTTGTGAGCTCGTCCACCTATCTAAGCAATAAAAAATATATCATTGAGTATGATCGTCGGTACGGTCTATCTGTGTATACAGATGCCTTACTAAGAATAAGTAGGTCAGAGGGTGGTTACGGGTGTGTTGCTACTTCCCTCGTAAAGGGACTCTAAAAGACCACGGGGCGCCACACTAATTTTATTGCTTAAATTCCCATCCTCGCTTTTTTTTTTTAATAATTCCGTACAAATATTGAATGCTACACAATCATTCAATTACAAAATGCGAATTGGGTTAAACATGAATGTTTCATTAAAAGTTTGGATCGTTTGTTTGTTTCCTGTTCAAACGTATACAATATAACCTGTAGCGAAATTTCAACAATTGCGCATGACATATGTGGTTAGTCGGCAGCCTTATTTTTTGTTTAAAGGACTGTACAGTATACGTACTAATCCTTACTAGAAGTCCCGCAGTAGTCGAAATTCGACTATAATTAATTGGAATTGTAAGTTTGTACACTATTATGATTGTATTTTATACTTCTATAATCACAAATTTCGCCAAGACTACACTATAAAAAATATTAACAGAGACAAACCATATCCTATTCTCAATTTGACAACAGACGTCAAGAACAAAAGTTTGACAATAAATAGTATGCATGCGTGTGTGCGTCAAATACATGGTATGTAGTGTGTGTAATGTTTTCTTTATTGATTTAATGTATCTTTTAGTCATTATTTTAAAAAAATATTAGCATTGTGCACTTCTTCTCTATATTTTCTATAAGTGTGGAAAAATTCATACTCCTCCGTCCGCGCAATTTTCGTAAAAAGGGATACAAAGTTTTTGCTTCACGTATTAATATATAGATAATATATGTAGGTAATTTCAGTCCCGAGTATTCCAAATGTCATACAAGGTAACAGTTATAATGCATTAAGAATATATAAGCCACGTCAAGTAACCATTTTACCTTTATATCATGAATACTTAGGGGAGCAGTGTCGTGTACACAAAATGATCGCGTTTTATGATTACAGCCGTTTCATAGCCGCTGGATGCATTACATATTGGTGTATTAAATTTTCTGTCATTTTTCACGTAACGCGGGACATAAATATTTTACTGTGTAGTAAATTTCCTTGTTATTATGACCGCGCCTTTGCATTACGAGAATGTATGTATGATTAATACTGACAAGTCGTCTTTCGTCCTGACGGGTGCTGTAATTGCCGTAAAAATTTAATTGTTCTATAGTCGGTTCGATTAATGAATGTTACACATTCACACATATTGTATCTGTCCCAAACTCTTTTTCTCTCAAAAAAAAAACTCATAAAAATTTAATGAAAAATGTTTAATTGCCATCAAAGGACACCAACATTCCAGGGGGCGATCCATGTCGCTACATACCGCAAAATGCTCTCCTGAAACTGCGGAGTTATACGTCTCTTTCCACTTGCTAGAAGGATTATCGTTTTTTGTATAAACGCGCGGGTATATAATGGGCACTACGAAATGGAAAACTATGCGCTAGTTTTACCGATTTGAAATACAAGTTAATCGCCACTTCTATTTCAATAAGTCTTATAGTTGTGTATTGGATTAGAGAATCCGACTGAATATCCAACTTGTTTTTTTTATATCATCAATTGATCAATAAATATAGGTTAAATTGATACTAATTGCTACTTTTCAAAACGTCTACCAGTATAGCGATGACATTATTGAGCTTTTGAATAATTAAGGTTAATTAAATCTGTGCTATAGCGTTAGACGACAGGCTACATGACCGAATTAAGGAACTTTTCGAATTATCTGGCAACAATCCAAATTCACATTGTTCCACAATAATATACGGCACCTTCCAACCTCTAATGAAAATTAATTCACGACAGAACGCAAACGAGTTTGAACATTTTTGGGTATCCGACGGTGATTTATGAAAATGCGTGAAAAATTATTTCCTTTTTATTGTTATGCAGAATTAAATGTAAACTGACAATTTTTTTATTATTTTCAAACGGACATACGAAAATTCATTCCACCTGGTATTTAAGTGGTAAGTGAAGCCTATAATTACGTCAACGTGAAGTGACAGGACTGAAGTTTCAATTACATTATAACTAATATTATCCTGTACTCTCAAAGCGGAATATACATATGTTTGCATACCTTTTGGTTAATAGCTCCATAGCTCCATTGGTTTTTTAGTGGTGGTAGGACCTCTTGTGAGTCCGCGCGGGTAGGTACCACCGCCCTGCCTATTTCTGCCGTGAAGCAGTAATGCGTTTCGGTTTGAAAGGCAGGGCAGCCGTTGTAACTATACTGAGACCTAAGAACTTAGGTCTCAAGGTGGGTGGCGCATTTACGTTGTAGATGTCTATGGGCTCCAGTGACCACTTAGCTCCAGGTGGGCTGTGAGCTCGTCCACCCATCTAAGAAAAAAAAAAAGGTCCAATGCTGGACATATATACATACCTCTCCTAATAATAATAATCTTTGAGCTCGGTTTTCGAATTATTAATTTCGAATTATTATACGTTTTTACTCACTTTATTTAGTATGCACGTAATAGTGATTTAAAGCCAAACATAGTACATTCTCATTAGTTTTTCTGAGTCAAATTATCACTTATTTAGTAAATTTCGAATTATACGTCTAGCATATATTCTTCAATTATTCAGGGCACAGTAACGTTCATTATAATAATTACCACAAGGATCTTGTACAGGAAGGTTTCCGCCTCAAGCGTTCCTTTACACACAACAATTCCTACGACCAAATGTCGGGCGGAATTAGTCGCCGGGATCGAAATTGAGCACAAAAGCGCTATGTACCATTAATTACCGTACAACTGGCGAAACCCTCTGGGATAACGGATATCAATCAGCGATTTACGTTATTATTAAGGTCGGGGGTTAGGGTAAAGCTACCCTCAGATCAATATAAAAAAGGCAAGTTATCCCAAAAACGTTTCTTAAGAACTTGCTACTACTTGTTACTGGTGGTAGGACCTCTTGTGAGTCCGCGCGGGTAGGTACCACCGCCCTGCCTATTTCTGCAGTGAAGCAGTAATGCGTTTCGGTTTGAAGGGTGGGGCAGCCGTTGTAACCATACTGAGATCTTAGAACTTATATCTTAAGGTGGGTGGCGCATTTACGTTGTAGATGTCCATGGGCTCCAGTAACCACTTAACACCAGGTGGGCTGTGAGCTCGTCCACCCATCTAAGCAACAAAAAAAACTTGCACGATGGAGTGAGTACTCACCGTCAAATCGGTTTGCAGTGATTACAGCATTGCATTAGTAGCATTTTTTATTGTTACTTGTACTGTTATTTGTACAAGAAACGTTATGTATCGGATAAGCTTGTGTGACACAGGCCTTACGCCGCAAGAGAAATGTCAACATGAGTCGGAACGGCCTTATAATTATGTTACGCGAAGTCGCTGAGGACAAAGCAAGATTTAATTATGCAAGATATGGATCGTTTGAACAAGATTTTAGCAATTCATCAAAGAATATTAATGTGTAATGTATTTATTCTGTTTCTATACTAAGACAATTTCCGTGCGCAGATATATGTCTGAACATTTGATAAGTAAGTTTGTTCTATTAAAGGACATTTAATTATAATATTTTTATTTCTGTAAGCTGTAAGTAGCGGCATATACATGTAAATAGTATTCCATAGCAAATGGATTTTGGGTTCAATGACGTTTGCAGGTATATTAATTCTTGAAATTTTCGTTTGAATAACGTTCAAAGCGCGATCGGTCTAAATAAAACACATTAATAGGCATTACTTTATTACTACTTACGAAAACTGACGAATTTACATATGTTACTTTTGATGTGACATGTGTAGCTATAATAACATCGCCTAGGGCTAAGAGTAATCTTCATTTCTGCGAAATGTTCGGAAAGAT